TTTGTAGCAACTCAAACTCTTTCACATACTCTTCCACGCTTAAAGATCCTTGTCGCAAAGTCTGAAGTCTGATGTATAACTCTTGTTTATAATAATCAGGAATAAATCTCTTCTTCATCACTCTTTTCATAGTTGCCCACGTTCTAATCTCCTCTTCTCCATCCCTTCTCCTCTGAATCTTTAAGTTTTCCCACCATAAAAGAGCATAATCTGTAAACTCAAGTGCTGCCACCTTGCACTTCCTTTCTTCAGAATATCCATACCATTCGAACACCTTTTCAACCTTCTGAATCCATTCCAAGTATTCCTCAGGTAAACCACTTCCTCGAAACGGTGGAATCTTAAGTTTGAGACCACTAGGAGGATTATTATTCTGTCTTCTTGGTCTGCCCCTATCGTCAGCCTCATCATCCCCATTTGGATCTCCATCAGCTTCTACAAAATCATTTCGTGGCACCCTAAGTGCTTGCCTCTGCTGGGGTTGCAAATTATTTCTTTGCATCATTTGCATAAGGGTATGTAACTGTTCACGAATTCCAGTCATTTCATCCCGAATCTCAGCATGAAATCGTTGTAAGCCCATAACCTATGCCTGTTCTAAACTTAACCCTCTTGGCAAATCTTCTTTATCTGCAGCCATAATTAAGTTTATCAACCTCAATTCCTGTAAGCCTTTCTTCTATTTCTGGCTCCTGCCTTAGATCGCAACTGATGCTCTGATACCAGATGTTGTGCCGTAAATGATTCAAAAATCGGCAACAATGAATCTGATGAAAATGGATGAAGGATGGGTTTGGTTGTGTTGTCTTTCTTTTGGTGTTTAGGCTGGATTATAGTATTTTTAAGGTAAATAAAATGGAGGATAGATTAGAGTGATACTTTGATAAGTCGATCTGGACGCCATAAAGATCAATCTAAGATTTTGACGCCACACTCTTTGTGATTGAAGAGTGATAAGTCAGGTAGGGTTCTTCACAAATCAATTTGGAAGAATAACTCTTAATTCTCGGAATTAAGTTCAAATATTGGCTAAAAGTTCAATGCAATCATGGTTGGACAATCTGGAAAGATCACGTTCTGAACTTGAAATCCACCTAGATTAGTCTTGTTTTCACATGTAATGGATGACTTCAAATTCGGGTTCAAATTCATCTACTGTTCTGACGTAAACAACATCAATTTCTTAACTTATTTGCATTATCAACCCAAATTCAAGTAGTCCAGCATCAAAAGAACCATTAAGGGCTCTTCCCATCTTTAAGCTCCAATTATAGGCAAATAAGCACCCTTGAACCAATTTGAAACTGATTGCCAAATTTTAACTCCGATGCAGCTTCAATCATTCCAATCTGACTCGTCAAGGTCCTTTGTAGTTGTTTCGCTCTCGCTCTTGTCATCGGACCATCTGAATCCTCTTGCATATTTGATTTACCTTTACGAGATGGATTATCATTCCCATGATGCACATCAGATGTAAGTGAATCTTTAATAAAAAGATTAACATAAATGATAATTTATAAATGTAAAAAAGCTAGACTAGTTATTAAATGTTACAAACAAAGAGAAATATGTTAACTTTAATGAAATCTTATTGCCAATAACTATTTTAAAATCTATAAAGACTTTGCTTACTATAACTGCATACAATGATTATAAGATTTTATAAATGGATATCAAAATTATATTCTTGAATGAGAATCTTTAAGAAGATGTGTACATGCACAACTTGAAAATTTTGAATCTAAGAAATTTGCCAATAAAGTATGCAATTTATAAAAATTTATTTATAGATTTAATTAAGTTTTAAGGAGTTGGAATATCAATTTTGATGAGCTAATCAAATATTTTGATTTCATAAAAAATATAGATGAGCCTTGTGTTTATAAAAAAGTTGGTAGAAGTGGATTCATTTTTCTAATATTATATATAGATGCCATATTATTAATAGAAAATATCATTTCTTTACTCTAGTTAGTAAAAATTTAATTTCCCAAGAATTTTTTCATAAAAGATATAAGAGAACAACCTATATACTGGGAATAATGATTCACAGGGATAGATCTAAAAAGTTGTTTGGATTATTCTAATCCTTATATATAAATAAAATGTCAAAATTATTTGGCATGGAAGAATCCAAAATAGAATACTTACCTATTTTATATAGGGTATATCTTTCTAAGTATATGTACCTTAAAACATAAATTGAGAGAGATAAGATAAAAATGATTTCATATACTTAAAATATAAGATTCATAATGTATGTGATGCTACTATGTACAAGATTAGATTTATCTTATACTTTGATTATAACGAGTAGATATTGATTTAATCTAGGTGAAGGTCACTAAAATATAATGAAAAACATTATTTAATACTCTAGAAGAACGAATAATGTTTTTCCAATCTATGGAGGAGATAAAGTTGTAGCTCATGGTTATTTAAAAGCTAGTTTTCAATCAAATATTGAAAATAAAAATCAAGCCTAGTTATATTATACTTTAAGTAATGGTCCGAGTTAGAAGAATTCAAAATAAGAGATCAAAGTAGATTTTACAATTAAAGTTGAGTGCATCTTTACTTTTAAAGGGATAAAAAAAATTGTTTGAATCAAGAAATTTATCACTGAATTAGGTATGATTCCTAGTATTGTTGATCCATTAGCCCTATATTGTGATAATAATGGAATCATTGTATAAGCAAAAGAATCAAGGTCTCATCAATGATCTAAAAAATATATCTAGATAATTCAATTTGATTAGAAAATTATAGAAAGAAAGATGGAAAGATAGATAAAAAATCTATTGAAGAGAACTTTGTAGATTCTCTTACTAAGTCATTGTCTAAGTAAAATCATTATAATCAAGTAGAGTGATGTAGTGTTTGATACATAAGTAATTGATTTTAATGTAAATGAAAGATTGTTAGTGTATATGCATATTACCAATCAGTTGGTTACACGTGATATTTATTTTGTTCATGTAAATATATTTATTAATAATAAAAGCTTTATTTATCTTTAATATTTGTTAAATATTTTATTAATAAATCAAATATTTGATTAATGAATATAGAGTAAAGATAAAGTTCTTAGGACAAAAATACCTTGCAAAAAAAATTATAAAGTTGTTATAATTATAAGATTTCTATTATATTACAATATTGTTCCTTATTAATGTTTTATTAAGATTGAATATTAATTAGATATATTGAGACAAATATATATCATATTATTTTTTTTTAAATAAAAGAAAGCAAAAAGGCTCACCATTAACAAATTAGACCACTAACATTGATATAACAAAAAGATGTTTTTGGATGTTGAGCACATTGTTGAGTGCACCACATGCCTTTGAAAATTTTTATTTAAATACCAAATTACCCCTAACAAGACTTAATAATTATGCAAAAATCATTCTTTTAATTATTATTATTTTTTTCTTTGAAGGTTTTTTTTTAGTTTCAATATATATTTTGATTTTTTTTATTTTTTCAAATACTAAATTGCCCCTTAACTGATATTATATTAAAAAAATCCTTGTAAAAAAAATGCCTCTTGATGCATGTTTAACTTTTTACTTTCAATGATATTTTAGTTATTTTATTATATAATTAATAAGACAAAAGACTTATTTATTCCCCCATCAATATAGTAATGATAAATGGGTTATTTGAAATTATATTATAACTAACATTAAGTGTTTTTGGTAGAGGAACAAAAAGGTCATTACATTGCAATGTAAATGAATGTGTAGTTAACCATCTAGGTGGTGGCCAAGTGGTAAGGACTTGGGATCAAAGGGTTTGCTCCCTCTGTGATCTCAGGTTCGAGTCCTTGGTTGCTCATATGATGGCCACTGGAGGCTTACATGGTCGTTAACTTCAGGGCCCGTGGGATTAGTCGTGATGCGCGCAAGCTGACCCGGACACCCACGTTAATCTAAAAAAAAAAAAAAAAATGAATGTGTAGTTACAATATTTTTCGGAGGGGTTTTAGCTCGTTCTAATTATTTGAAAAAATATATCAAAAGAAATTATTTCAAAAAAAATTTAACAAATTATATATATATAAAAATTAATAGGGATTTAGAAAACTTATTTACCTTTCATTTTAGAAAATCTTTTTTGTTGTTGTTGTTGTATTTAAAAGAAAAAAATTCCATTGATTCAAATGAAATTTTTTTTCTTCTAAAAATAAAAAAATTATTTTTCATTAAAATAAATTCCAGGAAGATTTTCCTAGCTTCTAAATATTATTTTTCTCTTAAAAAGAAAAAAGGTTCAGAATCTGGGTGTTTGTAGTTTCTAACCAAAATTTCTCTTTCAGACAATAAAACAAGTCAACTTGTGTCTCTCTGCCTCACCTAAGTTTTTGATATGCCATTAAAAAGAACACGTACGAGACAAGACAGAAACCCCACAAGCTATACGTTTTTATTATTAATTAAATCAAATACGTACCATCTTAGAAAAAAAACTAATAGGGTTCAAAATTATATTTTTTTTTGTCAAGATTGATTTTTCTGCCGAGGGAGAGAAAAAATAAAATAAAAATATATTTTTAATTTTTTCTTTAATTTTACAGTGAAAAGAGATAGCTCAATAAAAAACGTTGTTTAAATAAATTATTTAAAGATTATTATTTTTTATTTCCATGATTCTTTTAAATATTTTTCTTAAAAAATTAAAAGTAGTTAAAGTACAAATAACTGTATAAGTTATTAAAATTATTCTTTCATTGAAATACACATAAATAATTATATTTATATTGTTCAAAAAAACTATATCAATAATTTCGCTTTCTAGACAGCGCGCTTGCCACGGAAGATTCAATGCCCTTGCAATCCCTCTCTTTAATAATTTAGTCTTCTTTCTCTATCAAAATTATATATAACTGAATTTTCAAGTTGGGTTTTTGTCATACCTCCTTTTATTTTATTTTTTTAATTTTTTAAACTTGAAATGGCTTGTTTTGATCTCGGTTTCTGTTTCTGGGTATGCACTTTGTCTTATCGACATGAGCTTTTTTTCTCCCTTATTTTTTGTCTCGTTGATCCTTCTGGTTTCTAGCTCTAGGCTTGTATTCCAACAGAACGAGCATGGTTGATAAAGGCGTTGCTTTTTTGGGATTTTTCTTATTCATCAATTGTTGCTTTAACATGGCGCGGATCATTACTTGTTTAGTTTTTTTAAGCTCTCTGTTTAGAAGAAATCAGCATGCTTTGAATTAAATTTTGCTTCTTTGATTATTCATTTCTCCCTTTTGGCCACCTCTCATCTTAAAACTAACGTATTAAATGTAAGGTTTGGCTTATTCTGGATTCTTGGTTTTATATGGTAAGGACCATGGGGTTCATGGTCTTTCTCTATGGTTTTTTAGAATCAAGATTAATTCTATGTGGGTTTTGCTGGTTCGTCAATATATATATGCTCTTGTTGTCTGTTAATGGAAATATTAGGCTGGCTAATATTGGTTGTTTTGGCTATGTAGATGGAGGATGATGATGAAGACGACCTATGAATTATGATCTCTCTCTCTCTCTATTTTTCATGTGGATTCATAAGTTGACTTGTATCATGGTAAAAGATAAAAGTGATATAAGGCCTGTTTTAATCAAATTTGGGGTGGCTTTAGTACTCTCTTCTGCTGGATTTCTCCTTGCACGCTTGAAAATCAACTGGAATAAGTCTTCCCAGCTTCCTTGCTCCCCACGCTCTTCAGGTTTCATCTCCTTATCCACTGATGACTGACTGGTCTTGCTTTTATTTCTGTCCATGTTTTGATAATTCTGTCTATTTCCATTGTTTATAGATCATGGTAGTGAGGTTGACATTGGGGGGGAAAGAACTCGGCACGGAGACGATCTTCAAGTGAAGAATAGAACATCGAGTTCTGGCAGTGTCGCTTCAATTTCAGCAGAAAGATATGTAAGTTTCGTTCATAAATTTTGATAGTACAGGATAATGTTTTCTATTGCTAATATTCAATGCATTTAGTTTGATTAATAGCAACACTTGAATTAGCAACTGCCTTTCTGTAGTGAACTCAAGATGGCAAAGTGGTGATCGGTGAACCTTGTAGTATTTCCTTTGTTTTACTTTACTTTTTGAATCGAACAATTTTATTGTGAAAGCATTTCTAAAATCAGTTTATCTAATAGAAATTGAATTGTTTTGTTTTCTCATCACCTTACTACATGTTTACCTTTTGTGAATATATCCGTAAAAACTGAACCCGCCACTTCTCCCTCAAGAAATATTTGAAGGAATTAGGGAAAATTATGAGCTCGCTAGGCCATGGAAAGACTTCATTGTAAGTTCTGCCTGAGTAAAAAATATGAGGGCACCAGAATAAAGTATTTAACTCGTTTAATATGGTGTCTAAATTCTACTCTGCGCTCCTTTTATTTTTCTGCAGAATGATGTTTGCGGGTAAAATCTGTCGCTCTGGATTATTTCATAGAGTAACTTGTACTCCATTTATCAGGAGTCATTTTAGAAAACTAAATTCTCTTACCTGTTTGTTTGGCTATTGAGCTGTGGTTTATGGCTCTTCAAAAGATGCAAATTTTATGTCTTTGTTATTAATAGTTGAAAAGTAATTTCATGCTTTCTGTTCCACAGGATGACTCATGCGTGATGAATGTTGCTGTTAATAATTCTAAGGTTTTGTCTCCAAGCAGTGTTCACAGTGGGGATAAAGATGGGTATCTCTTGCCTGAATTCAATGATCTTGTGAAGGAATTGGACTTTACTGCCAATAATTCTAAGACATCTAAGAAAGAAGAAACAATTATATCAGATGTGGAAACTCCAAGATCCTCCAAAGGTGTGGAAAAGGTCGATTATGAGCAAGATATCAGGCATCTGAAGAACATAGTCAGAATGCTTCGAGAGAGGGAAAGAAACCTTGAGGTCCAAATGCTTGAGTTTTATGGCCTAAAAGAGCAAGAAGCAGCCGTGATGGAGTTGCAAAACCGTTTGAAAATAAACAACATGGAGGCTAAGTTGTTCGCTCTGAAAATTGAGTCCTTGAGCGCTGATAACAGAAGACTGCAAGCTCAAGTGGTTGATCATGCGAAAGTTGTTGCCGAGCTTGATGCTGCCAGGTCAGAACTTGAACTGGTGAAGAAAAAACTAAGGTCTGAAGCAGAGCAGAACAAGGAACAGATATTGTCCCTTAAGAAGAGAGTTTCTAGGTTGCAAGAGCAGGAAATCAAGTCTGCTGAAACTGATTCAGATATTAAAATGAAGTTGCAAAGGCTGAAGGATTTGGAGATTGAGGCAGAAGAGTTGAGGAAATCTAACTCCAGATTGCGTCTAGAAAACTCTGAATTGTTTTCTCAGCTGGAGTCCTCCCAAATCCTTGCTAATTCCATTCTGGAGGATCCAGAGGTAATTAGTAATTAGTTCATTCTTGATAATTCATGCGTCATTATATCCGATTATCATGTGATTCATTTTCCAGTTTCATTTTGTTGCAGACAGAAACATTAAGGAAGCAGGGCAATCAATTACGGCAGGAAAATGAGGCCTTGTCAAAGGAAGTTGAGCAGCTCCAAGCAGACCGGTGTAGTGATGTTGAAGAATTAGTCTATCTTCGATGGGTAAATGCTTGCTTGCGATATGAATTGCGCAATTTTCAGCCCCCTCATGGTAAAACTGTTGCAAGAGACCTTAGTAAGTCTCTAAGCCCTAGGTCTGAGATGAAAGCAAAACAGCTCATACTTGAATTTGCAAATACTGAAGGAATGGCGGAGAAGGGGATCAACATAATGGAGTTTGAACCTGATCACTGGTCATCCTCCCAGGCCTCCTATATCACAGACGCAGGAGAACTTGATGATCCTCTATCACCAAAAACGAGCTACTCAGGGAAAACCAAAATGTTCCACAAGCTTAGGAAACTTTTATTGGGAAAGGAGACTCATAATCACAGTCATGGATCATCAGGTGACAGAACTGGAGTGACAGGAGATTCTGATTCTCCAAATGTTAGTTTAAGTGTTTCAACACCAACAGACGCCACAAGTGATTTGCAATCTACTGGAGGTCAAACTCCATCCTTCTATTCATCCAGGCATTCGTTTAGAAATTCCATGGATATCCAAAGAATCAGCAGGAGTCTGGAGAACAGTCAGAGATTTAGGGAGGTAGGATCGTCTAGTGGGCATATGAGATTTTCATCAGGTAGAAGTAGCGATTTGTCACTTGACAATTTACTGGATCAGGACTTGCATTCTATTGAGAAATCCGAGATGGCAAAATTTGCTGATGTTTTGAAGGGCTCCGGAGGTAGAGCAGGAAATGGCAATAGGATGGACAAGTTGCACAGAAAATCAGTATCAATCGGCTCATTTGAGGCTTTCCGTAGCTCCTCTTCGAAATAATCCCACCTCATAACCTCTTCGTTGTACTCTCGAAACCTTAAGCGAAGGATTTACCAGTCAGTGTAGCTTCTCCATAGTATTCACTAATGACATCACAGAAAGTAGTTTTTGTGGAAAAAGACGCGTTTTATATATGATAAATGTTAAGAGTTGCCATATTAATCTTCAAAAACTGTCAACTCCAGTCCACCTCCCTCTTTGGAGATACCTTGCAATAGTGGGATCAAGAGTTGTTGAAGTCTGAGTAGCATCGGTGCCTTTTCAGAAAGTTCCCCACTAGAAAAACTACCTTGCTGATGAAGATGAAGTTAGCTTTCTTTAGACTAAAAAATCACTGAATTTGTGGTGGTTTCACAAAACCAAAACCAACCGGATCCCTTTGTAGCCAGCGAAGGAAAATGACGCTGGAGACTAATCCTCGTGCTTTACTCTGTTGTGAACGGGGGTATTTATTTAAGAAGTACAGACATGTTAAATGATTTTTATAAAAAAAGCGAGCTCTAATTTTTTATTTGACCAAGCTAAGCACTCGAAATGTCTACTATTACTGCTACTGTAAAACAACAAATCCCAGCATCTTCACTCACTTTTCTCCCATTCACGCAATCTATAAAATTAATCCTTTCTATCAAGCAAAGTATTACTATGACTACTACTTTTACGAGGTTCATTTGTCTCTTAATAGATTTTCATTCTCTATCTAAAATGCTTCCATGTTCTCAGTTCTATAGCTATATAAAAGTGAATGCAACTTGAATTTAACAGACTGCTCTTCTTGTTTTACGTTCCAGCTTAGATAAATAGTCTTCTTGGTCCACAGCCACAAACACTATTCTTGGTTATTCTAAACACCAAGAAGAATGACAGTCCTGGCCACTTAAAAAGTTAAATAATATCGGATTTAGGTGAGTATTATTCTAAAAATGTTTTGTAGAAAAAAAATTATTGTGAATGCCTTCATATTTTATTTTTATATTAGCTTTCTTCCATGATGTCTCTTCGTGTTGTCTGGACATGGAAGTCATAGAAAAAATTTCCAAACTAATTACCAACACCCATTGTCTGAAATTTACGTAATAGCATCGCATATCCTGAAATGGTTTTTTAGCTTGTCATGTTTTTATGTATTCTTAATTTCCCTTTATCTTTTAAATTGTTTTTCTTTATAACATATATAGGCAAGTTTATTTTATGTTTTTGGGAAATGATTTCCTCTTTTCTTGAAGAATCACGTAGTCCCAATAAAATATTTTTAAATCTGTAACATGCTTGATTTGAATGATTGGTGTTATTCAAGAAAAAGTCAAGAATGGTTTGTTGCAGAGGTGTTATTAAAGCTGCTCATTCCTAATTTTCTAGTTTATTTCCTAATCCTAGTGAACTTTCCAGCCATAATTTTAATGAATTAGCTGTTGTAGCATGCAATATCACAGTAGTTGATGATTACTGTTGACTGCATTTTGTTTCTCCATATAGCCGTTTTCATGTCCTTCTTGACGCTTGAATGATATGTAGATGTCCATTCTAGATTAATTAAAGCAGTTCAAGTGAGGTCTGGCTGTATCTATAAATCTTGCGATATCTGCACGTCTTGGTACAGAAAGACAGACAGGGGTTTATTTTCTAATCCTCACAGTAATTTCCTAGTCGGCTTCTTTCTCTGCTACAAACTCGTGGATCATTTTATGTGGATTTGTATCTCTGTATTTTCTTCAGAGGCTTTCTCATTTTCATTTATATCTCTGTATTTTCATTGTTTTTTTTTTCTTATAAACTTAGATTTTTATATTTAATAGGTACGAAGACTAACAAAATTAAAATGATGGATGTATTATAAAAATAAAATTAATTTTATAACTTTGATTTTATTTGGTATTACTCTTAGCCCCTTATCCTATATAAAAACTTTTTTATATTTGCTTGTTATAAGTATTTTATATAAAACTAAATTATGCAGTTTTATTGTATTTATAATTTTATGTTTTATTCTATTAGTTTTGCCCCTATAAAATTATCTTAACTATGTCTTTGAAGATTGCGATATAATTTTATAGTACCCAAAAACCTTTACTAGTTTTTAGAAATTCTTGGTAAAGAACTGGTCATATCATAAAATATATAAATCATTTTATAAATCTTATCAAAAATAAGTTGTTCTATACTTGTTTTTAATGATAAAGGTATTCATTGTTTACATGCCAAGTGTTTTTCTAGACAAATATATGTTATTAAAGATAACATAATACTACTAAGATATATAAGAGAATGATTTTAAATTTAAACATGATAATAAGATCTAATCTTTATTTTTGAAATATAGGCGTTGGACCCGAGAGGATGGTGATCAATTTATAGACATGAGTCTGTTCAAAATTATATTGATTGAAGTGGGTCTAAAAACTATTGCTCATACTCAATAGATATATGTAGGATTACATTGATCCAACATAACCCAAATTTGCTCACAACATCATAAAAAGATATTAAAAAACAAAAGCACAAGCATAAATTCATACATATCAATACGAGCATGAAAAATTCAAATAACAAATAGTTTAGCATCATCATCATCTTAAATAAAATATATTCAAGGCATTTTAAATATAATAATGTAATATATTACACAATTTTATTACTTATTAATCAACATTATAAAAAAATACCTATTTATCTTAGATCGGTTTGTGAATAGCAAAACTATTAATACAAAATAACATTAGGAGACAAAATATCTTAAAGATATTTTAGATACACTAATGTAATGTATTAAATAACTTCATCACCCATTAAACAACACTCTAGGACAACATTTAATGATGATTTATTTATCTTAGGTGAGTTTGTGAATAATAAAACCATTAATAGACAACAACATTGTAAGAAAAAAATAACTTGAAAACATTTCAAAAACAATAATATAATATATTAAGCAATTTAATTACCCATCATTCAACACTCAGTTACAATTCATTTTATCTCAGGTGTGATTGTGAATAACAGAACCATTAATATATATTAACATTGCGAGAAAGAAATATCTTGAAGACATTTTAAACACAATAATATAATATATTAAGAAATTTTATTACCCACTAATCAACATTTTAGGACAACACCCAGTGACAATTAATTTATCTTATATAGGTTTGTGAGTAATAAAACTATTAATACACATTAACGTTTGAGAAAAATATCTTGAATATTTTTAAAATATAATAATATAATATGTTAAGCAATTTTATTACTCACCAATTAATATTTTAAGACAACCAAGTGATAGTTTATTTATCTTAGGTGGGTTAGTGAATAATAAAACTATTATTACACAATAAAATCATGAATTAAAATATTAACACACAGCATAACAAATCAACACACTTAAAATTTACATCAAGACTGAACATTTATACTTTAAAATAAACTTATTACAACATATCCTCCTAATTCTATTGTTAGGTATTGACTCCAACCTTATTTCATCTTGAAAAATAAAAGCCCTAAAGGTTTCATACCTTAGCGGTTGTCACACAATGGTGTAGAATCCAATAAATTAGAATGAAATTCCATGTTTCATAAAATAATTAGATGCCATCATTGCTGCTTCCAAGACTTTTAGCTTTCTCGACATAGTATTTTTGGAAACCCATTTAGTGTTCATAATTTTAGAAGCGTGAATATTTTTATTTATATAATTTTCTACTTCGATGAATGGTATGCCATATTTTTTATAACAGAAATTGTTTCTTTGACCTTGACTGTTATCAATGTACCGTTCATGATGTACTTTAGAACAATTGTTATGTATCAAGTGTTAATTTTTTCTTTTATCTACTTTTCCTATTTATATAGGTAAAATGTGTAAAGCATGTTATGTTGTAGAAAACAAGAGGTATAATATTATATTTATAAGTGAATCTTAATAACTCTATCAATGATAAATTATCACTTTACTATCAGAATAATATAATATATATTATTTTAGAATAATTTTAGAAATTTATTCAATCAAGTTTCCATTTGGTTTTCATAAGTCTAGAATTGTAATCCTTTATATTAATTACATTATAATTCTCAATTTTTAAAATTTATTTAGAATCAATTCAAACTTGATTAATCATCCAAGTTTATGTTTTGACAAATAGTTCTTATTATGTATGACCTATTAGGTTTCTAATATATTCATCCAAATATAAATCACAATTCTAAATGAATTAGGAATAATAGATTAAATAATTTAATTTATTATCAATTCAACTATGATATTTATTTGAAGATCAAATGCATCGTTTAGCTAGGAATAATAAATTAAATAATTTAATTTATTATCAATTTAAATATGACATTTATTTAAAGATCAAATGTATCATTTAACAACGTATCATGATCTCTCAAATATTAAAAAAGTCATACATGGTTTGACTTAACTTTTCAGTGAATAATTTCTCAATGAAATTATTATCCCTTTATCAATAATTTTATTTAGATATTATAACATGGAGTGTGTATGCAGTTAAATCATGTTTATTCTCAACACTATAGTCATTAATATTTTGAATAAGACTTGAAATTTTTTTCAAATCTCATTCCATCTTATACAAAGATTTCACAATCAATACTATTTATAAACACGTGGAACTTTTTTTCTAATTTACCTGGGGTGATGAGTCCTCTCTTGATTACTCAAACACCTTCATATAATTTATTTTATACCTAATATCTACCTATTGTTTTTACCCTTGATTAAAACAACACCTTCATATAATTCATTCTATACCTAATATCTACCTATTGTTTTTACCCTTGATTAAAACAACGTGTAGGTATGATCAAAACATAACATGCCCTATATAAGATACCTTATTGATTTTAAATCTAAGTATCACTTACACAACTATTACATGAGTCTTTTCATAGATACAAATGATTTTTCCTTATAAAATCCTCATAAGGTTACTTTAGTGTACATATCATCTGACAAGTATATACATATTAGTTCTAAGCATCCTTTATATCCCAATTTATGAGAATAACTGCTTTTTTTTTAAAAGGAAAGAACATGATATGAACTAGTCTAAACGACTCTTAAAGTCCATTCTTAATACAAAATTGACTAGAAATATTTAGGAACAATGCTTGGAAGCATTTAGAATCTCGTAATTATAATCACTTTAT